TGATAAGCATAACTTTTTCAAATTTCTTGAAATTTCTGTATAATCTATATAATACGGATGATGCCGCCGACCCCTCTATATTTCTATCGCCGAGAAATTCCTTGTTATTTGTCTAACCCGACAAGCCAGTGGAGCCTGATCAGTGAATATTCTTGAAAAAAGAAACTACACATCATTTGCTTGGATTGGATCGAGGTGGTTGTATTGGTCTTATCCTGTTTTTGATACATAATCACATTATTTAAACGAGAAATTTGTCTGACTCGATTCCACTTGACAATTTGGCTATGTTTAGTGTCCCGTCTATTTATGTTTCATAATATTACATTGCAAATATATATATATATATATAGAATATACTATAATACATATAATACATATGAAAATGTCCTAGCAGTTATCAGGTAGACAGCTGGCATTGTAAGACGGACAGAAGAAAACATGGAGATTGCTGATGTAAAGACCAATGAACAATGCCTCACAATGCACAGAAATCTCCACTCCAAGTCCAACATGCAAAGACTATACACCAACCGCAGAGAAAATGGGTGAGGCTTGATGAGTGTGAAAGCTCCTATAATGAAATTCGATTCATTCAGAAATATATCAGCAAGATGACACCAAAGGACTATGTACTATTGAGAGGATATCTGAAATTTGTAGACATTGGTAGACATTGGACATAGAAAACATCTAGTCACGTGAAACTCCCCGCACAACCAACACTTCAACCAGATTGATTATGTCTTAGTCAATCGTCGCTGGAAGAGTTCGGTCGTTCCTACCACGCTAAAACGGGCAATCTTCATGGATCTGACTATGTTATGGTTTGAATCAAGACCCGCATAAAATTGATAACTCATAGTAAACAGCGTGCATCCCCTAAGATTTTTCAACTATCTCAAACTAAAAAATTCGGGGACAGTGAATCGAATTATTGAAGCATCTCAGTGATACGAATATCAATGATTTTTCTGGAACGGCAAATGAATACTGGTCCGAATTAAAGGAATGTCACCGAAAATTAGCCACTTCAACGAAGAACATACTAGTAGGAAGTATGCTAGTTGGGGTATCGGAAGCAACTATCCAATTGTCTGTAAAGCTGCCAAAGCACAAATGTCAGGTAATCCTGACTACCGGGTGCTTCAAAGATTTGCAATGAAAGCAACAAGGCGGGGCGGAAATCTCTATTGGAGTGATATGGCCTCAAGAATGGAGGCGGCGGCTCGATTAGGCGACAATAGGAAACTATTCTGCCTTCTTCATAAAGCAACTATGACTCGAGGAACGATCAGTGAAATGGTAATAGACAGCAATGGCGTACTAATCAAACTAATCAAAAGTATTAAGGATCGCCTCATAAGATGGAAAGAATTCTTTGAAGCCATGAATATTCAAGAATATTTTGAACGTATAGGTGAATATATGGACTTAGACGATGGAAAAAGGAATGGCTTCCATTACCGTGATCGATAGCATCAGACAGCGTCGCTTGGAAGCGTCTTACCCTTGCAGCTGTTGGAGCCAACCTAACCAGTAATGGTGTGAGCTGTTAGAAGAAGAAGAAGATATTGACTTTTTCTTTGTGACTTTTTCGTTTAGACTGAACGGGGTTTGTAAGGCTGTCACACCACAACAACATATTAATTTTTTATTTTTATTGAATATAGGGACAATGGCTTAGGTAAAACGTGAGTTTAAAAAAAAACTATTTATATTGCAAAGAAAAAAAAACCCACTCCCACACAGCGTTCAAAAAGAAGAAGCAAGAAAAGTGACCTTTTTATTTTTATAAGCAATGATTCATAGTTTCGAGAAAATTCTCGACAGATATATCGTAAGTCTGCTCCATCAAAATTTCTAACTGTATTAGTTTAAGTATTGAAAGGTCCTCCTGGCTTTTGATCTGGCATTTATCGCAGAACTTAGTAAATAGTGGTGATCGCCAAAGTGATGATCTGACCGAATCAGCATAAATGACGACGCTATTAATGTGAATGGTATATAACTGAGCGAGAGTGAATATATATATATAATCTACTTGGCCAACATATACTTATATGTGAATGTTCAAAGTAGATACCATTTTAATATTTTCTGCTCTCATTGGCCTTATATCTCATAACAAAATGGTATGTACTGTAGCTAAAATGTGCGGTCTTTCGTTTTGACGATTTCGCGGCTATTCGCCAGACGAAAGAAAACATTTCTAACTGCAGTTTCATCTTTATTCCAGTTTCATCTTTCACTTGATCATTTGGAATAAGATGGGATCCAAAGTGTCCTATCCAGAGTTTGGCACCTACTTAACCCTGTGATGAGCTGATATTTTATCACAGATAGGTATTTTATCAGCGCCTGGTAATCCTGAGACCGGTTTTTCTTCAACTGTCAACTGTCAGCATATTTCTGAGAATCTCTTGCAATTTTTCGTATTCGTCAACAAAAAAGGCTATGTTCCCAATCTATTTTCTAGGTTGATTTGTGCACCTCATTTTGCGGTATTTGCAATCGAAAGGACAATCTTGACGGATACTATTTCCTATTTCGAAAGGATCTGCATTTACTATATGTACAAACCAGTGCCGATGTATGCTGGTAAAAAACTCTTATAAGTTGATTGTGATCTTCTCTGTAAGACATTCCATCATCTTCCAAAGAAGTGCTCTAATTGAATCGAAAGAAAATTAATTAATTAATAATTATGTGACCATGGGTTGCCGATGTTTGATACGATATTCTTTTTACTGAAAATCTGTGTTCCTATTCGATTAGGGCGAATCTTATACTCCCACTAGTCTATTAGCAAAAGAGAGGCAAAATTTTCCCAGGGATGTCTTTTAATTCCTCTTTGGTTACCTTAACTTATAATCAATGCGGGTTGCTTTATTTCAACCATTTGGTAATAATTTCTCCTTTTAATTCTTTCATGCAACAAAAATGAATTTTGAAAGGCGACGAATAATATTGGAAAAGTCCCGAAGATTCTCCGGAATTTTTATTGAATTTAATAAAGGAGGCTATTTCTTGTTGCTTGCTGGCTCCATGAAATTTTCCAATATTATCCTTCAGCTATGACTGCGATTACCGATGACTCATCTTGGTTCTTAGCATTTTATAACAGGTTTCAATGGCAGACATCTATTTCCATCTATTATCTTCAAAAAGGTTGGCAAGTTTTCAACTGTATCCAAAGAAAAAATGATGAGTTACTTCCATTTTACAATATTTTCTTGCGTACTACTATCGGGGAAATCGTACACAGTTGGTAAATAACTAATTCTTCTTTCTATTAGTAAAATCATGCAATCTGTTTTGCACAAATCATTTAATGAGATGTTATCAAGAAAATTTCTTTTAGCGAAAATAGAGATGAATTAGCCGCTGATGTTGAAATTCCACTGTATGTGCTTTTAAACAAGCAAGTTTTCATTACAGATTGATGAATCCACTTTGCCAGGCAATGATGCTTTGCTTCTGGCATATAACCGGTTTACAAAAGAAAAAATTTTCCAGAGTTTTCATTCGCTGAAAAATTGATAATAGTTACTAGGAAAATCAATATGTCATAAGGAACCTAAAAACGAAAAACGATTGCAAGTAATCGTTTGCATCGCTCTTCAAAATATGGAATCATAGCAGTTAACAGCTAACAGAATTGCTTCTGTTAACTGTTTAAAGTAGATAATTAGGAAGACTATAATTGTTTGCTGTTTCATATGGGAGTGCGTTGGCTGTCAAAAGGTGCCTGTTTTTACGATATCTTACGCTCGGTTGTGAAACTGCTCGACCGTGAGAAAGATGAATCGTTGGAATAATTTGTAGATGCTTCTGAACGACTTGTTTAGCTTATTTCACAAATTTTTGTAGCAAATTTAATGAAGTGAATCAAAATAATAAAGTGAGAAAACGAATTCAATTTGATCAAAATTAAATGCATTATTTCCACATTCATTTTATTTATAACTATTTATAACTATTTTTTATAAGCAACTTAAGAAATAAAGAATTTTTCCAAATTTCGAATTTTATCTTAGTAAAATAAAGTGACTGAGATATTCCGATGTACTGCCAGCTTTCACGATATCTTTAATATGAAAATTCCTAACTAGGTTTTAGATCCATTTCCAAATATTGATTAATTAGAATTACCATCACAAGTTAATTGAATTATCAACTAATGATGAATTGAAAATTTATAAAGAGGATTACGATTTCTGGTTGCAAAAACGAATATCATCAATTTATTCTGAACTATGTGCCACGCCAAAAAAATTTTTTTACGAATTTATTGCCGAAAAAGAAGAGCTTAAGGCTGATGGCTGATGCTGTAAAAACTGTGCCAAATATACAAGTCACCAGCACCAAATGTAGTTATTAGTTATACATTAGTTATTAGCACCACATTAGGCTCAAAGTTCTTATTGTTTTCGTTGGATTCTTTGGTTTATTATTATTTTCAATTTGATTTTGATTCGTTATAATTTCAATTTAATTGCTTTTTGTCTTTTCGGAAAGCATAATAAATATTTTATTATTTCTTCAAAATAAATGGCACCCTTAAAATCAGTTTTCTATTTAGCAATAGTTCTGGAATCTTGGAATTGGTCCAGCTTCTCTAAAGTTTACTTGAAGTGGCGATGAACAAAACAAATCAGAAAATGGGACGATAGCAAAAAAGGCTGGAAACCTATTATAGCGGCCAAATTATACATATTTATATACGTTATATCGAATATTTTTGTGTTTGTCAACGCTCTATGACAACCTCTATCCCATGAGCTTCATAGGATAACGATATATACTATACCTTTATATAATATACTGTTCCCTTTAACTTTATCCTATAGTTATTTGCTTAATATTTCCTAAAATGTGGAAAAGCGTAGTTTTACTTAACTGTAATCTACTTGGATGCCGTTTCCAACACATAAAAACGTGATTTAATTTGGTGCGCTTGGTTTCTCAATAAATAAATGGTACAATACATTCTGTGGCTAAAAGTGACTTATATAACCTTTCGCATATAATTCATTCAAAACTTTTCTATAAAAATTTTGTAAAGCGTTCAACGTATATCGATGTAAGTGAATATTAGCATCGAAATATGATGTCAAAGTCTTGCGATCATACGTACGACATATCTGAAAATTCATCTTCTCAACCCAGAAATGAGAGATTTTTGAAATTTTAATTTTTATAATTGTTAATAATTTTAATATTTATAATTGTTAATAATTAAATATCAGAAAATTATAAAGATTAAATTATTTTTTCAAATATTTCAACCTTGCTATTACAAAACAGTTTATAAAGATATATCCGATCGCATTTATAACATCGAACGCTATCAAATATTGATATTGCATATTTATAATAGGAATAATAATCTAAGTATTCAATATCCATGCTTTCTAAAGGTTCATGTTTGATCAGACTGCGCATTATTCGTGATGTTATATTGAATGTTCTGAAAATAAATGAAATTGGAAAAGCCATTATAAAGTTCAAATTTATATTTAAAGATACTGAAGTATTTTTTACATTTTTCGTAATTTAAATGATGGGAGAATTTAAATGATGTCCTCGTATTCAGCAAATATAGAATAGGTAGAAGAAGCGATTGGTGAGTTATGGAATATGACGATGTTCCGCAGATCATTCGATTCGACTCACAAAGGCATTTTAGCAGCATGCATTGATAGAGGTCTGTATGACGCATATATGACGCATTTTTTCGAAACAAAAAGAACTGGTATTCGCGAAGGCTTCGACCTTTCTCTTACAATATGCAACTATGTGATAATCGACATCGTTTTCCGGCACTCAAGAAATGTACAAATCAGTCCGGAACATAGCACAGAGAATACGCTAATGATGTAGTCCTTTTTGCTGATAATTATGACGAAATGCAAATAAGGCTAAACAATGTGTCAACAACTTGCAGTGAGACTTAGGATCAATATAAATGAAATGAAAGCCTTTTCTTATTTATAAAATACCTATTCTTATCTATTCATTGCGTGTTGAGAAAGTGCAGACTTCAAATATCTTGGATCTACTCTAATTCCAAACGGCCAAGTGAAAATTGTATCTAAGGACTGCATCCACCTTAGTCCAAATACTACCATTAATAATAGAGCATCGCCTTCACTGATTATGGCACATTCTTTGTCATCTACCACAGAAGTTGACGCATATTCCTATACTTGCTAAATCCTGGGATGGATGGTGAGGAAGACCAATCAAGACCTGGATTGACTGATAAAGTCAAAAAAAATTTTGAAAGTATAGGTCGACCAGCGATATATGGTCATGGACAGTGGAAAAAGGACGGCTCCTATTACTTATTTCGGCGATGGTGTCGGACCGAACAGTTTAGAGTTGTTTAACCCCTAAAGCGGAATCAGCCTAACCAGTAATGGTGAAAGCTGTTAGAAAAAAGAATGATAGTTTAAGTGGAATTAATTCTATGGCAATAACTTGCATAAAATATTTTAACAATCTTGCCTCAAGCAAATTGTTTTAGAGCCAAAATTTAAAATATCAGATTCTCAATAAATTCTGGAAAAATCAGCAGATAAGATGGTTGATTAATATATCTGTTCCTTTTTTTACCTGGCTTAATGTGCTCTTGCAATACTAGCTTCCAATCAATGCAGCTAAATATCAAACAATAATTAAAGGTGCAAATTAGAAATGATGAACCCATATTTCCTGTTTGCAATCGGATATTCAATGATAATTCGTTTTGTAATCGTTATCAACATATCGATAAGCGTTTGCAACACATCTGCATTTCTATAAAAAAAAAATATTTGATTCCTATATATATCGTTTTTTTTTTTTTAATGAAAAGAAAGGGAGATCGATATAAATAAAATTGATAAGTTTTGAAATAGCCAATGCTGTAGTTTTCTGGAAGTATATATATATATATTCAAATTAACAAATCAGAAGAAAGAGAGATTTAAAGGCTCCAATTTCGCATATCTGAATCTAAAAAACCAATTTCGGGACCGTCTGAAAATTCTCATTGTAGCCATCGACGACATTTAAATTGAGTTTTTAAGATTCCTGAACTCTGAATTAAAAAAAAATAAAAAAATTATTAAAATATTTATGAAAAAGCTTTGAATCAAAAAGCTTACACAATTTCAATGAAAATTATGTCTGGCCTTAGCTCATTTAATTCCAGGATCATATTCCTTACATAATCGTTGCAATCCATATCGTCAGCATGCAATGTCATGTTGCAATAAAAATTTGAAAATGCTCGTATTTTGTTGAATGATTTACCTAATATTAATTTAAGCACATACATAATACTTCGAGCATAGCTGTTACCAATTAACGCGATTGTTATAGAACCATCACCCTAGGAAAACGTCAGATATGTTAGTCAATGATGCATTAATGTACGTTGTTCAAAGGGTTGTAGGTCAAGTGTTAAACGTGGAAAAGATGTTTGGCTTCTTCTTTCCTGTTCGATTGATGATTTCCTAAGAGTCGGAGCTATTTATTTTGACAAGAAAATAATGTTTCTCTCTAGACATACTAAAAATATAAAAATATAAAAATTGGTTGCATTCTTTTAACATGTGAAAGGTATTTTGCGCCAATTTGCACTTCTGTCACTAAATGATCCTTAGCAAAGGCCTAGTAGCCAGTTAGCCAAACCAGAAATAATGTTGTAATTTCATGAATGCAGTATTTCCATTCTATTTTTTAATAATTACTTCAATATAAATAATCATATATTGACTTTTAATAGGATGATAATATGATGTTAGATTTTCTTTGCGACTCAACTCCAGTCAAAATTTTGTTGAACTTGTGAGCTAAATATAGCCTTTGCGAGCCTTTATTTACAATATGAAAGTGAAACTTTCGAAATTAACCTTCCAGCTGCACACGTAATAAAATTTTCTAAGCATACTTGATAGTATCCTCCTAAGTCATGTTTCACATTTGCTTTGATTGGAATAAACGATCTGAACTTAGGCAGGTCCGTATTGAAACCCATTATAATTGCATTCTGTTCAATAGCTCTTGATGATAATTTTGTTTTGATATCTGTCGAGTAAATGATTCAAGGACTACTTGATTATCTCAATCATGAATAGCTATTTTTGTAAACAGGTAACAGCAGATAAAATATTTGTTTGTGTGACAGATAACATAAAATATCGCATAAAAATCTTGGCAACCAACCATTTGAAACAGAGGAAACAGTGTGTGGTTCAGTGACATATTGATATAAACGAATACCATTGACGATCAAAAGTATGATTAGCGAAGCTCCTAATTTCGTGGTTTGTTGCATTATGCTTGACTAAAATTAGTTTTGCTTGATGAAAAGGTTTTCTTTCAGCCTCTCTTTATAAGAAAAATATATATGTATTATCGACATATTTATTTGTTCTACAATTTCCGGATTTCTGATTTTGTAAAATTTTTCCAGCGATTCCTTATGGAAAACATTGAAGTTAAGTAGGATGAAAACAATAAAAATTATATCGTAAATTTAAAATTAATATAGAATCAACACTTCCTTAGAAGTTTCTTTAGAAATAATATAGTGAAGAATATCAAAAATTAGATGTATTTAATTATCGATTGTGGAAGTAGAGGGGATTGTTATGAGGGAGAGCACTGCAGCTGTGGTTCTATTCTATGTGATTGGCAAAATATACTTGGCCCAGTGGAGCAAAAATTATGACATCACCTAGAAAAAAAGTATTAATTATTTAAAGAAAAACAATGAAAGATTGTTTTAATGAAATTCTTCGCGAGACGAAATTGGAACGACAATGATCAGATATGGTTGAACAAAAATAATAAAGGCCAACCTTGCAGAAAAATTGGCAAATCAAAAATCACTTTAAAATAAATTCGTCTGAAGAAAATCTGCTAAGCCACGTGATGAAATTCATCTTATTATCGACCATTTTATTTCTAAAAAAGCCCTTTGAGGCTTTGAACACCACTTTCAACGAGTGTCGAATATATGAAGTGCTTTGCACTGTTAGTTTCAATTATTTTAAAATAGGGTAGGAGAATGAAAATGGAAGGTTACCAGCAGCGCCGAGATTCACTTCTTATTCAGCTATCCTGTCCCTAATAGCGATAAAATCATCGAATTACTTTCTGGATTATCCAATGAAACCTGGAAAAAACCAAACCAAATTTCGGAAAAATCTACAACTGATGGAAGATAATTTCATATGATGCACAAACACAAATCAAATTCTTACCACACTAATGAATGAAAATCGTTGCAGAGACATATTCATTTGTTTATTACTTGCATATAATCAGTCTTATCTACGGTTCATTCTTATTTGAATAAAACTACTTTCAGCAGTGAAGTGTAGTAACACTACCGGCCAGCAATCATCAACACCGTTCTTCACTCCAACAATCACTAAAATAAATACTCCATGCAAATTTTCTTCGATTGCACATCATAGAAACACTGAATTCAAATTATCAATTTTAAAAGATCTAGAATTCAATGAATTCCGATAAAATTTAATCAAACATGAATAATTAAAATCATTGTCGAGTATTTATAGCATTTTCTACAGATTATAAAGGCTTGGAATAAATATCATACGAATGCTAGTCGGAAATGCCCGGTGGAGATTACTGATAAGATCTTGGAAACGTTCATCCGATATTACTAATAAAATCTTTTCTAACTCGTTATAAGATTCTTCACATAACTCATTTCTTAATATAATGTATTTCATGTAATTCTGTAATTTTTATCTTTAATTAATCGGTTTTTTGTATACTTTCTTAGCGAATAATATTTTTTATTCGCTTATATTTTAACTGTTAGAATAATCATTCGTTCCATAACGGAACCTGGCTGATAATGAAATAATTTGGGTTGACAGATAGTTCAGCTTCTGCTTGAACAGGAATAAACTTACTAAAAATCTAAATGGTGCTAGCGACCCAGATGAGTTTTTATCTTCATGTAGCAATCTAAAGAAAAATAGACATTTTCTTATCGTATTAATACAACCAGAAACCGGGAACGGTTAGTGCTAAGCTTTTTCTTCTTATTTAGTTAATTTTAATGTTAACGTTTTCACGGAAGATCTCTGAAGGGTCTCTGTATCTATATCTATTCGCCTCAACCTAAACCTTGTTAATTCCAGATTTATGATTCTGGTTTACGAGTCTATAATATCAAAAAAATGCTGCTGTTTCTTCTTCTTAACAAATTTTTTTAAAATAATTCCGCATTTTTTAAATAAATTCTTATTGGATTTATATTTGTTAGTCTTTTCTACTGCAAATAAAGAAATAGAAATTGGTAAACTAAAAGTTGAAACAAAATTCTTCCAATGAATTCGTTCTTCTTCCTTTTAGAATGTTTTCTGGTCTTTGTGAAGTTTCCTCATGTTATTCTTGTGTTCCGTTGTAGCTTTCGATTTGTGACTATCATCAAAGCAGCAAAATGCGAAAGTGGTTCGAGATAACGAACTCCGAATCAGATTTTGCAAGTAAATAAAGGATGTTTAAAGAGAGGTTTTTTGCAGGAACATAAGAGGATACTATATAATAAAAAAGCGCAAATAGGTTCGAGAGGCACTTTACGGGAAAAACAACGCTTGAGAGGCTATTGAGAGAACCACGACTGGATCTGAGGGGAAATTCTCAATGGAAATTTCAAGGTATTAAGAAAGTGAAGTGGTACAATCTCCATAATTTGCCAAAATGACAGGAAGAGTTGTGTGAAGAGTTTGAAGGAGATTGGCAATACTGAAGAGACCTGAGATGTTCTAAAGGACTATAGCAGGGTTCGAGTTGTTAAAGATGTGTACATTTTAAGATTTCGAGCCGGTCGCAAAAAAAAACAAAACGGAATCCACGAGAAGGACGGGGCCTGATCGAGTAAACGCAATGGGGTCGCACTTTCGTGATTCCTGCCCGCGGCCGTATTTTCGTCCAATAAACTTCGCCAACCCGCTTGCGACTTTTTTCTTGTAATTCGGTTTAACTTATTGCTTATCAGTTCTTGTGGATTATCAGTTTCAGTTAACTAATTTTCTATGCAAAGTTAGCACGAAATTTCCCCGCAAAGCGTTTTCTAAAAATCCCTTTGAAATTTTTTTCCTGTAATTTTCTCATTTTTCCGGAAAAACGTTCGTTGCTAAGAGTTTTTGATTTGGTGAAATATTGCGTGTTGGAAAAAAATTGCATAAATTTCTGCGTAAATTTTTTCGTTGTTATTTTATTCTTCGCTTCTTTGAACATTTATTTTTCGTTGTTTTACGTTTAGATTGCTTCGAAAATGCTGTAAATTTGTTAGATCCTCGCTGTTTTCATTCAATGAGAGAAACATTTTATATTTCCAAAAATCGCCGTCAGAAAATTTCGCTGAAATGGGTTTTTAGTGCATTTATAATGCTTTTTATATTGTATTGGATGGAATTCGTGGAAAGAGAGGTTTGCTTCTTCTTCGCCGTTTGTAAAGCCTTCTTCTACTGATTCGGCTGTGGTGGCGATGGGGTAATTAATTAAGGTGCCACCACCGTTTCTCTTCAGATTTGCTCCACTGGCTTTTGGTACGAAGGGGCAGTTTTGCCTGAAAGAAGTCACTTGGAGAAGTAACGTGGCGTGGCGCAGCATCTTCTGCATTCCTTTAACATTTTACTCTTAATATGTTCTCAATAGGGTTTTTTTTGCCAGGATAGTTGCCAGGCGCGTTGTCCCGTTTATAGTGAGATTATATTTTATGCAAATTCGGCATATTGCTAATAACATCATGGTTAAATTTTAAAAGTATATTTATTATTATTTATTGCTATCATTATTTCCTATTATTATTATTATTATTAGATTATTATTTTAAATGAACATACAATTATAAATAATAAATTTCAATTACATACAATTATATTAATAAATTTCTATTAGTTGTTGTTATTACCATTTATTATTACTATTATTTGTTATTATTATTAATTATTATTGCTTTTTATTATTGCGTATATCTTCATTGTGTTTTCATTGTGTTGCATGTATGATATTTAACATTATAGATATTTTTTATATACTTCCTTCATATCAGATGCAAGGGAAAATATCAGACAAAGATATAGCTTAGAAAAATTTCTAAAAGCCAGTGGAGTTAGTTTCATTAGAAATGGTGAACGCTAGCCACTTACCTATCTCTTATTGTCTCATAAATTCTTTAATCTTTTTTATATCAGTATTCTGAAAAAAATAACTGAATCTATTGTTTTATCTGATAATATAGAAATTCCCACTTATAAATGTTTTGTTAACTATTATAATTTTTTATATAAAGTAGTAGTTTGTATGATTCATTCTTATAAAGGAATCATTCTGCAAGTTTTTACAGAGCGCATCGATATCTACTGAACCGTTTCTTGATGAGCAACAGTTTCAAGGAAAGGATATTACAACAACATCGGAGCATAATCGTGTGATTGAAAAAATCTCGAATATGTCACTAAAGGTAATTTTATTACAAAATTACTTAGAAGTTTGTTTCTTTTTCTTATTTTATTTTATGGAAAAAAATTGAGCGCAAATAAAAAAAATCTGAAATTACTTCAGAAAATTTCAGCGAATAACTGAATCCTCTGTACATATTTTTTATTATCCATGGTATGGTAATCCAGAGTTTGATAAGAAATTTTTTCATTGGAATCATGCCTATTTACCTCACTGGGACAAAGTTATTGCAAAGAAATTTATTCAAGGTCGATTCAAAATTGTTTTTCACCACATCTTTCATTTTTTTTTATAATATCTTATTTCATTTTCCTTCATTATTTAAGGTATTCATGTACCACCAGAGGATATCGGTTCAAATTTTTATCCTTTGTTGGGTCCTTACAGTAGCCGTGACCCCAGTGTTATTGAACAACATATGAAGTGGATTTCTTCTGCGAATATCAATGTCTTGGTTGTATCTTGGTACCCACAACATTTGGCCGATGTTAGAGGTATATTTTTTTAATCTTATTATGGTTGTTATTTCGAAATTGATTGTTTTCAAAATTTTCATTTCGTTTTTCTTTTTATTATTTAGGTCATCCATGGGACGATATTATTCCAATTCTCTTAGATATGGCAAATAAATATAGCCTTAAGATAACTTTCCATATGGAACCATATAAAAATAGAACTGCCACTAATTTACGGCGCGATATCGAATACTTGTTGGATTTTTATGGCACGCATGCTGCTTTCTATAGATATTTTCGAAAAAATGCAGGTTTAATGCTTCTTATGTTTCTAATCGTTTATGTATCTCTTTGAAGTCAATGAAATAAAATAATCGGATAAGATGATGCGATTTTTTGCCATTTTTCAACTTAACCAGCTATATAACTTTTATATATATATATATATATATAACTTTTATATATATATATATATATATATATATATATATAATTTTTATATAACTTATATAAAAGTATAAGAATATATAACTTTTTCAAGGAATGTACTTGACTCTGAACACATTTTTTGTCCATAGTACTGGTTTTTTTTTACTAATATATGCCAAATATATAACTTTTAGATGGATCATTGGCTGTTTTACCTCTTTTTTATTTCTATGATTCATATTTGATTGAATTAACCGAGTGGCTTAAAGTAACAGCGAAAGATGGAGAATTATCTGTAAGAGGAACCAACTATGATATTCTTTTTATTGGTAAATGTTTAAGCATTTTGATGATTTTGATGATGTTCTAAGGATTTTATTATCTTTTTCAGATTTTTGATTATAGACGTTTTTTTAATCCTTTTATTCCTATTATTTTCCGACATTTATTTAAAAGGGTTGTGCTGCTATTAATTTTTCCGTAATTTTTTTTTCTGGTTTATAAATTTTGTAAGCTTTCTGATTTAGAAGATAAGAAGATTATAAGAAAATGTTTTATATATCTTTATTATTTGATTCTATTTACACTATTTTACCCTTGTTTGAATGTATAATTTATAATTTGATTCTATCACCTTTCTGTTATAAAAGATTTCGATGAAAACCAAAGACAATTTATTTTAGCTAAATTTCTTTATTTTTTAAATCACTTCTATAGGTGTTTTATGATTTATGATTTTTTGATTTATATTCTTTTAAAATAAAAAATTAAGGTTTGGTCGTTAAGTCCGAAGATCGATACTGGCTTAGCGATGCTGGGTTTGACGGCATGTACACATATTTTGCTACAGAAGGCTTCACATTTGGATCAACCGCAACAAATTGGCCATCACTGAATGTCTTTTGCCGGTTATTTATTACTTTCTCATTAAGTTTATTTAGATTTTTCATTTGAGGTAATGAATCGCATTACTTACAGAAAAAAGAATTTAATATTCATACCATCGGTAGGTCCCGGTTATGATGATCGACGTGTACGTCCATGGAATAGTCAAAATACCAGGAGCCGATTAAATGGTCATTATTATTCAAAAATGTTCAAAATGGCATATAATTCTGGAGTATGCATTTTATTTTTTTATCATTCTATATTGATACTGTATTACTAAATTCTTAATGTTCAGGTGCTGGGAAAGGATTTTTTTTAGGCTGATATTATTTCGATTACTTCCTTTAACGAATGGCATGAGGGTACGCAAATTGAACCAGCAATACCATTCACTGATAGCAATGCTGAATTCACTTACAATGTCTATAATCGTGGCCCTTATCAGTATTTGCAGCTTACTGCTAATCTTGTAAAACAATTTTTCACTGTCAACTCATGATTCTCGAGTTGGTGCCTTTCTACGCTATTTTAATTTATTTTATTGTTATTTTTATATTTTAGTTATTTTAATATTTATAAATTTCAAATAATAAATTTTAGATTTATGTATATATTTTAGATGATATGAAATAAAATATTCTTGAAAGTGATTATGCGGAAAATGAATTATAAGGAAATTAGTGAAGAGACCTCTCCCAAAGATGAATTTTTTTCAACATTCATATACATTTTGATATTTTCTCCAAAACCCTCATATTTCCTTTATCCAACAGTTAGGCTCGGAGAAAAATAATTAAAAATTTGGAATGGAAAATTTGATGTCAAAATAGAATATGGTAAAAGAAGACAGAATACAGTAGGGCTTCGAGAGTGCTAAAGAGATATCGGGTGTGCTCAAAAATGAGCAGAATCGATAAATCGATTGAGAGCCAATCAAACCGTGGTCGCGGATTTGTGTTCGATTCTTCTGCATTTTGGGAACGATTCAATTCGATTTTGTTGGGAGGTGATTAGTGGACTGAAGGTAATTTGATTAGTCTATTTAATTTCTTTAATTTCTTTAGTTGAGTTTTTTGTTTGTCATTTTGTAATATATCGTAATGTAATGTATCTTCACCTAATTTTATTGTTATTATGTTATATTATTATCTAAATAAAGGCTTAATTAACCAAGTTTGAAGTACAAGTCGAACGATAATCATAATACTATAACGAAAAAAGAACTAACGTTTAAAGACAAGTTTCACAGGTAGCATTTTAGATTTTTAAGGAACATTAGTGCATTATTACAAAGAAGTGGAACATTATTATGGATGGCGTCAAAAGCGAAGTGGGCCAATCAAAACCTGGTATGGTACGGTCAGGAAAGATTTTGAACGTGTAGATGGACCAGCAAAATATGGACTTAGACGATGGAAAAAGGAATGGCTTCCATTGCTGTGGACGATGGCATCAGACTGCGCCGCTTGGACCGCGTCTTACCCTTGTAGCCGTTGGAGCCAGCCTAACCAGTAATGGTGTGAGCTGTTAGAAGAAGAAGGTTTTGATGCGATAGCAAGTTGCCATAGGAGAAATTTTATAAGATCCGAACATAGTTGACACATTATTATGGTAATGTTGCTGTGAATTATAAGGAATTGAGAATATTCGGAACAGAATGGGATAGCACTGATCATTGCGAGAGATTAACAAGTTCCGAGGAGGCTGTTTGTGCGACAAAATGAGATTTGAAAGTTTTTTTTAAGATTGCTTATAAATTATTTTAGATTCCAAATAGCTCTTCAAAGTACTTTAAAAAAGATTCCAGAAGGAAGTAATTGGATTGATATAATTAAGTGTACTTTTAATGATAATTGGCAATTTTGACAAAAGATAATCAATTCTGGTGGAAATAAATGAGTTTTTTTTCTGGAAACATTCACAAACTAATTCAGATTTGATAAATTTTGTTAAATGTACCTTGATCCTTAGATAATTTTTAATTTGGAAATATTTAGATCAATAGAATAATACAAGTTAAATAGATGAGTAAATAGTGAATAGATTTTAGAATTCAGTGGGTCGATTCGGTTCGGCTCATAGAAGCAAAACCGCCATAAAAATCTGGGTGATGGCGACTATATTAATATTTGACCAAATGATTCCCTAGCAAAAATTTCTAACCGCATTAACAACCAATGAGGCCAGCGTAATTAAAAATAGTAAGCTTTACTGGTTAGACTGACTCCATTGGCAAGGCAACTCCAAGCTGTTCGGTCCAACGCAATCGCTGATAGCAATAGAAGCCGTCCCTTTTTCCACCTTCCTTGTCCATATATTGGTCGATCTATATTTCAAATATAATTCAAAAGTTCAAAATCTTTCCTGACTTTATCTATATAAATGTACATGCAGCAATAGAAACCATGCAAATCCTAGGAATTAAGATTTACCGAGATACTGAGCCAACAATCGAGGAACGGCATTTTTTTCAATTGCACAACTTCCTGAGAACACATTTATGTCATCAAGAGCAGCTGAGAAATCTTTGTCCTTCTTTATTCGTACTTCGATCATCAACTAAAAAAAACAAGTAATATTATAGTAAATTATCTGATGAAATTAATTTGCTTAAAATTTCTCAAAACCCTCCATAGGTTAGCCATATTGACGAATAGAATTATGTGTGGGTAATGGTAATGGAATACCTACATTTCCAAGACAAGAATCTACCTAGATTTTATGAATTCCTTCAATTCATTATGCCAGACCATGCTCTTAAAGAAACCCTTTTACTTCACGATCCATTCAAGAGAAATGTCGACATCATCTGGCATTTGAAAAAGAACAAAAGCTCTCACCATTACTCGTTAGGCTGGCTTCGATGGCTACAAGGGTAAGATTTTCCAAGCTGTGCGATCTGCATTCGTTGATAATCACAGAAGCCATTCTTTTTTTCATTGTCTAAGTCCATACATTGTCCACCTATATTCAAAATCTCTCCTGATCAATCAATCTTGATTGGACTACCTCGCTTTTTACGGCACTTCACTTATCACAGAATTTAGTAGGTAACGAAATATATGCCAACTCCTGTGGTAGACGGCGGAATAGTTCCCTATTATTGCCTAATAGTAAGTTAATTATTCAGAGTAAGAGAAGCACGTAATCATGTGATATAATGCTGAAATTAAAATATTTTTTTTTGCAATGGTCAATAATTTTCAAGACATTCATATGACCTCGAACTTTTCGAGAGAGTTATCAGAAATAATTTTCTTTAATTATATATAAAGTCTTTGTGGCATAATCATAATAGTTAAATGCTGCAAATTTCTTCAAATATAAAAAGTATTCACTATTTTTTTAATGGTAAGGTGTAACAGATTCCAAGCTGAGAATAAATATTTGTAATCCTTTCAACTTTAAGGAGACGGCAATGCAGTTGTCGTTTATGGCGTCTCAAGAGACAAGAGTAAGCATAATTTAAACTATTATAAAAAACCACATAAACTTTCGATCTATGATCATATATTCCCACTGAATGTAGTAAAATCATTTGTTTTAAAATACTTTGTGGGTTCATCTTGAAAAAATTTTATGAAAAAATATAGCAAAATTCAAGGACATATTTCCATTGGAAGCTTAAGATTCAAGCAAATTTGTTATTATTTTATAAGTCCCAGCTTTCCTTTGCTTTCTGTGAATCTTCCTCATCTTTCATATACTCTTGTAAAGTTAAGATATGTCGTATCAACAGCGATAATCCAACGAAAGAAGCATCTTAAACCAAAACGATATGTATTTTTCTTTCACTTAGACATTTATGTTTATATTCTTCGATGCGCCTATTTGTTGATGGAATTTCGGTCAAAAATAATTTAGTGAAACTCTGTGGAATATTTGAATAGGAATGTCTCCCTATAGACCATTGGCTTATAAAAACACGCTAAAAAGTTATTTAAGAATTGGATTTGGAAAAGTTGGATTTTCACTTAAAATCTTCCAGAATCTTGTGATTCATGTCGATTTTTTCTAACTACTTTTTCAGATATTGTTTTATTTTCGATATTTTCAATAGAGGAATATAAATTTTGGTGTGGGACTATATATATATATATATAAAATAATTTTGATAATTGCAGAAGCCATTCCAATTTTCATCGCACTTCGCTTACAAAATTTCTTCTGATTTTATCATTGCAAATTTTGGTTGTTCCTCCTTACTATTGAAACCATTCACCGCAAAATTTGCCATATAGTGAGATATGCGTTAATTTTTGCGATGAGTGGCGAAGAGTAGATCTTAGTTTGAGCTATCATCAGCACTTGCCATTTCCACAAGTTTTCAAATGTTTTTACGATATCGATTCGGTTTAATTCCAATTAAAAATTAAAAAATAATATTGCCTTGCACCGATTATCTTTGCGAATCTAAAGTATTCATTTTGCATATAATGGAGAGATTCTTAATGTTTCGGTCTGACACAGTAGTTAATCTTTAAGTGATGTTCAAGGCTTTTCAAGTTCCACTTATGATTTATGATTTGCAAGATGCGAATACTCATAACTCTAAAGAATTTTAGAAATCTTCATAAATTGTGCTTATTTTTTTATATCAAAGTTTTAAATTATTTTTATCTATATTAGTAAAAATATATATTCATTTATTTGAATCAATAAAGATATTTGGAATAAAATTCCAATATTTTGGTTAAAACTGTTGAACCGCAATGCGAAAAGACAAAGGAAAATGTGAGAATGACGTGGTCGAATGATGGATTGCTTTGACTAACTTTTTAGGCACCACGGTCAATATTCGTTCCTTTGGTAGGAATAAATCTTGTAATTAAAAGCCAAATTCAGATGATGAGAACATAAATTTCTATTCATAATTTTAAGACGGTTACCTCGGTTTGATCACAAAAAAAACCAAAAATAAGATCGAAAAAAAAGTGGAATCTAACTTTTTCGCTGAAAAATTTTTTTTGATTTTTGAATTTTGACAAATACCGTTTTCGTATAATTATAGCTGATTTAAATATTAAGAGAGATTTTTTTTTAAAGAGACCTCACCACTACTGGTTAAACTCGCTTGCTGGCTTGTCACATTGGGTAAATATTCCAGGGAGAGACCCTTGCGATAGAAGTACAGGTGAGTCGCCAGCATGATCCGGATTAAGAGTGAACATTTTACATCTAAATATAACAATATTAATGCAATTATTTACTTTGTTAGAAATAAACATTAGAAATAAACTTGTCATTGAAACTGAAATCAAGATGCGGCTGTGTTTCTGCCTCCAAATAATTCACTCATGAAGAGGTTGAACTTCAGGAATCAGTGGAATCAGGTAACCCAAAAATGTTCGTTAAAATCAAGGAAACGAGCATCAACCAATCAGAAAAACCGCCAAAATTTTATTCATGTAAAGCAATTTACTGCATCAAAACTTTCATTGCATTTTAAAAGTTTCTATTACTTGAAGTTTTCGTTTTTTTTATCTGCTATACTTTTTC